CAAACCGCTAAATCACCCTCAATCCCATGCCTCCATATTTTCTGCAACAGGGTTACCATTGACCAAACTCAACAGGGATCATAGACACAGTGGCTACTAGAGCCGGTCAGAGGCTGGGAATACTGCAGCAGGCAACACACCTCCCTCCTCCCCAAAGCCTGTCCACCATCTACAAGGTACAAGTCAGGAGTGTGATGGAATATTCCCCATTTGTCTGGATAAGTGCAGACCCAACAACACTCAAGAAGCTTGACACTGTCCAGAATAAAGTAGCCCGCTTAATTGGCACCACATGCAAAGCATCCACTTCCTCCACTACATGGTGGCAGCAGTGTGTAGTATCTACAAGATGTGCTGCAGAATTTTACCAAAATTCTCAGACAGCATCTTACAAACTTACGACCACTGCCAATGAGAAGGACAACAGATATATGGGAACACCACCACCTTCAAGTTCCCCTCCAAGCCACTTACCATCCTGACTTGGAAATTTATCACAGTTCCTTCACTGTCACTGGGCCAAAATCCTGGAATTCCCTCCCTTATGGCACTGTGGTTCAACCCACAGCAGGTGGACTGCAGTGGTTCGTGAAGGCAGTTCACCACCACCTTCTCAAGACAAACTAGGTATCGGCAATAAATACCGGCAATAAATACCAGCAATAAATACGGCAATAAATAGTAACGCCTACATCCCACAAATGAATAAATTTAAAAAAAGAGAATAAGTAAACATCCTGCCCAGTTTAGGGCAAAACAAAACTTTTACAAACATAGAAAATGTAAGCTGTTTGTTCAGGAAAAGATAGGCCTGTAAGAACCCAATGAGAAATTTACAATAAAGGCAAAAAAAATGTGCAAAATTATTTAATAAGTATTTTGTTTGTTTTTCCAAAGAAAACAAATAAATGTGAAGATTACTGTAAAAAGCAAGTTATGGTCAGGATAATAGACATATTTAAGGATCAACATTACTGTAAGCTGCAAAGTCAACAGGACCATGTGCAGTATGTCAAAGACTATAAATATCTTGGGCAATTGGTCACAATTAATGTTTATTGGAAATAGGAGTAATATCAGGACTAGAGAGTTGCTAATGTTTCATCACAATTCACGAAAGGGCACAGCAACAGGCTAGGAAACTACATGCCTAACAATGGCAATGGGGAACTACTATCAGAGACAAAATACGCTAATTTAACAGCATTAATCAAGGAGAGCCAGCATTGATTAATTAAAAACAATAGGACTGTCCAACAAACTAGATTGAATTCTTTGATGAGATAACAGAGGATTGATCTGAATACTGCAGTAGGTTTATGGACCGGTTATCAGAAGGGATTTGACAAAGTGGAGGACAGAGGTCTCTAAAGGTTGAAGACCCAAAAATCAAAGGGAAATGGTGGAATAGATATAAAATTTCCCCTGGCAAACGGGTTAATACATAGAAATCTTCTAGACCTCATCAGAAACCATCATTGTTGGGCACTGGAAAGGTGTTCCTGAAAAGGGAATGGCAAGGAATTCGACAAAGTTTTAGAAGGGAGTTGGTATATTACTCCAGGATGAGGAATTTACAGGGGTTCAGAATAATAGAGTTATGGGTGAGGGGTTCAGCACAACCACCTTTAAACAGCTGGCACCAGCACGTACGTGCTGAATGACATCTACCTTTGCTGCAGGTTTCTATGATTCCACAAATACAAAAATATCAAGGTCAGATCCTGGAGCAAGATGTGTAAAGTCAGTGAGCTGCATAATCTTCCCATTCTTGTTTTCAATTTTATCATGATATTATTAAGCATTCAAAAATAGTACCACACATTAAGAGTCAACATTTTTGAAATAAGTTTATTAAAAGATATTGCACAAATCAAGTCATATGTCCATCAATATAACTACATAACTGTATTGTATATACAGACTCAGAGGGGAGTGGGAAAATGCCAAGATAAGATGCAGAAGAGAATTAAACTTATTTTAAAGTTGATTTATTCTCATGATCGTAAACATATGCTAGTTCTACAGTATATACAGGCTTATTGGTATGTAGCCCTGTGCTACATAAATATATTTAAAGATCTGGATCCAACATTGATGTGCTCATGGTTACTTCTTTTCATTGACCGTCAGGTCGCGAGGAACCATGGTGTATCTCTGGTGTGTACGTCAGAAGTACTATCATTACCCAGAAGTGCAGCAGTGCCTAAAATTACAAAATCTTTCAATTAAATATATGTAGTTTTTTAAAGAACATTGTGACACTGAGAGGGCCATATTCAGAGGTACCCTGAAGGCCCATATCAAGGAAATAAATTCTTAAGGAAAGACAGCACCATCTAAACCCATGATCCAATTCCACCTAGAAGGACAATGGCAGCAAATATAAGAGAACACCACCATCTGCAAGTTCCTCTCCAAGCTACTCCCCATCTTGACTTAGAGGCAATGGCCTAGTGGTATTATCGCTGGACTGTTAATCCAGAGACACAATGTGGAATTTGAACACAATATCTGGAATTAAGAATCTAATGATGACCACGAACCCATTGTTGATTGTCAGAAAAACCCACCTGGTTCACTAATGTACTTTAGAGAAGGAAACTGCCATCCTTACCTGGTCTGGCCTACATGTGGCTCCAGACCCACCGTAATGTGGCTGACTCTGGAGTGTCCTCTGGGCAATTAGGGACAGGCAATAAACAACTGCCTGGTCAGCAACAACTTCATCCCATGAATGAATTAAAAAAACATACCTTCAGTGTCACTGGGTGAAAACCCTGCAACTCTCTACCTAAGAGTATTGTGCGTTTACCTAAAACACATTGACATTGAAAGCAGCAGCTCACCACTACCTTAAGGGCAACTAGGGATTGGTAAAATGCTAGCCCAGCCAGTGACACCCACATCCCATGAATGAATTTAGAAAATACATTCATTGTAATTTTTTTCTATTTAAAATTCCATTTTATTGCTGGTTTGGACAATTTTGTATGAATTGCACCAAATTAAGAGGAACCTTGTAGGAACGAAACACCTAAGTATTTTTGAAAAGCTCAGTCCATTGAATTTAGGTATAAGACCATGAAAATGCCTCACTTCATCTGTTCATGAATTGTTTGAGTGCAAAAAGCCAGTTGTGGTATTACCTAATGAGATTCTACCTTTTAGTAATTTTCTTTAAAATGAATTTCTTTTAAAAATACTTCACTTATATAGTTTTGATTCCCTTTATCTAATGCTTATTTTGTTTCATAAATTTCTTTTTAAGAGGGATTTTTAGCTGAATTTCATTGCTTTTTTTGTTCCTTTATGTCCCAACTATGAACTTGCATGAATGGTTAATTTACTAACAACTTTAACATATCAACCTGACGCTGCTTCTATTTTACAGGGTACTTGCTGTGTCCCCTAGCTACAGGCCTTGTGTTGGTGGCTGCAAGCCAACCAAACGTCTGGAATGCACCAAGACCAGCTGCCCCTATGACAGGTGAAGATAAGATTTTCTAACTCACTTTTTGTTGAGTTTTACATGTCTTTTGTGGCTAGTTGCACATAATTCATGTAAGGGAACCTTGGTATCAGGAACATAATATAAAAGTGTTTCAAGTCCAAACAGCTGCTTTTAATTTCAACTCTTATACATAATGTGAACACACAAGCTAAGCTCTATATAAAAAAGGACTTTGAATGAAAAATAGTCAAACACAGTGCATAAAACGTGAATACACAATCAAGGAACACAGTTATGTGCTTTAATCAGAGTGAAACTGACTACTGAATTATGCAAGTTGGCACAAATGTATCTGTCAAAGATTCAGATTTGTAGGTTTACAATTCAAATTAAACTATATACAATACATTTAAGGTATCAGTATCAATAATTTAGTTAGTAGTCAACAAGCTTTTTGGCTGCAAACAAAATCCAAGTACTATTCATGGAAGAAATTGAAGACTGTAGTCACACAATAAAGAGGGTGAAAAGCAGAAACTGTGATTAAAAACTTGAGCTATTACTTTGATAATGACGAGTCCAAGCATTAAAAGAATCTGTAGAGTAGCAGGAACACAATTGCTGAAATAAATGAAGCTTTAGCTTTTAAAATGCAGCTGTGTTGAGGAAGTTAGTAAGCAAAGAAAAGGCACATCCTCAACGATAACAGGAAAGGAATTATCAGCTCAGTGTCTTCTTGCCTACTGGGTAAGATCGATAGGCCTGGGTGGGCCTTGGTTAAGGAACAGCACAGGTTATATGTAGGGCAGTTAAGATGATACATTTATACCAAACAATTGTTTTCAACTCAACTGGCTAGAAACCCGAACTGAACTTTCAAAAAAATAAAGTTGGATGTTTTAAAATGTGACAAATACTCGAGATGGTCACCTAATTTGCATTACTGTGCCTTCCACATTACAACTCCACTGAGATACAGGCAGTACATCTGCAAAGCCCAAAGGTAATGACCTCAGAAGTTTGAATGAATTAAACATTCTATTCCATTAGCACAACATTAAGATATTCACCTGGATGGAGACAAACTATGAAACTTAATTACTTGAACAAAGATCTTGCTAAGAGGGCAACTCAAAACCAGGATGTAATCAAGTTATAATTATAACTATGTGCAACAGACAGATTGTAAACAACAGTTGCCTGCAGAAGAATAACGAGATCTTCCAGTTTCCTACTGAGAAGAGACACCATCTGATTCAGCCTGAAGTCAGCTGAGCCACCAAACTACAGACTGTGAATCCATCCTTACTACATGTACATATTTTATTCTCTACATATATTTATTTAAGCAATATTTTTTTTTAAAAAAACCAAAGAATATTTTATGATCACGGTGCTAAAGACTTAAATACTCATTAAATAGGAAAGCATACACTTTTCAAATAAAACAACGCTGCATTCAAACAAAGAAAAATAACAGGGCAAGACAGTAGCATTAAATGCCTGCTCACCCAATCGTAATAATGGACAAACTGCAAAAATTATAGCAAGATCTCGTTCCTATAGTTATGAACCTCAATAACAGCAAAAACTGCTGCCAAGTTTTTTTCTTATTCTGCTTGACATGAAATTCATCTGAGTTTTTTCAATGTGTGTGTCATACTCTAAGGGCAAGGCAAATCATTTGTGCGCAAAACAATAAACAGCTTACTTTGTCTATTTTATTTCCTCCCTCTCATTGAGAGGTTGAAATGTTGCATTCTGCATGCTTGTAAGTTAGAACCAATAGCTTTTGATACATATTTGGTCATTAGTTAGTTAGTTGGATAAACATGATTAACCAAAATTCAAATAAGCAATGCTGTTCCACGCTTTTTCTCCCCTATTTCTGATACACATTATTAACATTCAGCCCCTAGTAATACAGGTTAGGAGGTTGGACAGGAAAAGATAAATCAGCATAGAATAGACAGGACTGTTTTTATTAACTTAGCAAAATTTTAGCTTGGGCTCTGGGAAAGAAAGACACCAAACAAACATCCATAATCTTACACATCATGTACATCCTCCCAGCAGCAATGAATTCAAAACTTGTGCAAGCCAGCCTCCTTTTTCAGCTTTCATTCCCAGTCAGAACTATCTTTAATTGGTATATTTTAGGATCAGTCAGTATGAACTTTTTCAGTGTCAGATTGCTTGTCAATTACAGTCCAGGACTGACAGGAACGTGAAACATGGCTCGGTCTCTTGCCAATGTTGCTGGGCACAATAAATATTTAAACAGCAGCAGAATGGATATTTGAACAGGGAAACAAATAAAGGACAAACTACCTTCAATTCTGCACACTAGAGTAAAGAAAGTGAATTTATGTAGGCACACAAAGATTCATAATTTATCCTTTTATATCATTCCTTTGTGCATCCTTATTCTCCTTCAGCCTGCTTTTTCCACTGCACTTCTTACAGCTGTACTGTTCTTAGCAGATGTTGCATTCAAAATAGGCTGATAGCTATGTTGCTCAATACTACACTCATTTGAACAGCCGTCTAATGCACAAGCTGTTCAACGGGAAGGAGATGGCCTAGTGGTATTATCGCTGGACTGTTTATCCAGAGACCCAGAAAATGTTCTGGGTATCCAGGCTCGAATCCTGCCATGGCAGATATGGTTGACTCTTAACTGCCTCTGGACAATTAGGGATGGGCAATAAATAATGCCTGGCCAGCAATGCCCTCATTCTGTGAATGAATAAAAAAAACTGACTACTAGATACTGTGATGGTGGGGTGTGGGGTGTGGGCAGTGATAAATCCGTAGCTTGGACGTAAATACAATCTGGCAGTACACAATTATAGGCAGTCATGATAAAATCAGTTTTCTAAGGGGCTGCTTTTGCTAACGCTGTTGGGAAGGGTTTAAACTAATGTGGCAGGGGAATGAAGAGGTTAGTGGACAGTAAGGAGGTAGTAAATAAAGCCTGTAAGGAACTAGATAATGAAGTCAGTGTGACTAAGGGGAAGAGTAGGCAGAGAGCAGATGATGAATGCAGAGGGACAGATGGTCTGAGGTGCATTTGTTTTAATGCGAGAAGTGTAGTAGGTAAGGCAGATGAACTTAGGGCTTGGATTAGTACCTGGGAGTATGATGTTATTGCTATTACTGAGACTTGGTTGAGGGAAGGGTAAGATTGGCAACTAATTATCCCAGGATACAGATGCTTCAGGCGGGATAGAGAGGGAGGTAAAAGGGGTGAAGGAGTTGCATTACTGGTCAAAGAGGATATCACAGCTGTGCTGAGGGAGGGCACTATGGAGAACTCGAGCAGTGAGGCAATACGGGCAGAGCTTAGAAATAGGAAGGGTGCGGTAACAAGGTTGGGGCTGTACTACAGGCCTCCCAACAGCGAGCGTGAGATAGAGGCACAAATTATGTAGACAGATTGTGGAAAGATGTAGGAGCAACAGGGTGGTGGTGATGGGAGATTTTAATTTTCCCAACATTGACTGGGATTCACTTAGTGTTAGGGGTTTAGATGGAGCAGAATTTGTAAGGAGCATCCAGGAGGGTTTTCTAGAGCAGTATGTAAATAGTCCAACTCAGGAAGGGGACATACTGGACCTGGTGTTGGGGAATGAGCCCGGCCAGATGGTTGAAGTTTCAGTAGGGGATTACTTTGGGAATAGTGATCACAATTCCATAAGTTTTAGAATACTGACGGACAAAGACAAGAGTGGTCCTAAAGGAAGAGTGCTGAATTGGGGGAAGGCCAACTATAGCAAAATTCGACAGGAGCTGGGGAATGTGGATTGGGAGCAGCTGTTTGAGGGTAAATCCACATTTGATATGTGGGAGGCTTTTAAAGAGAGGTTGATTAGAGTGCAGGACAGACATGTCCCTGTGAAAATGAGGGATAGAACGGGCAAGATTAGGGAACCATAGATGACAGGTGAAATTGTGAGACGAGCAAAGAGGAAAAAGGAAGCATACACAAGGACTAGGCAACTGAAAACAGACGAAGTTTTGGAAGAATATCCGGAAAGTAGGACCAATCTGAAACGAGGAATTAAGAGGGCTAAAAGGGGTCATGAAATATCTTTAGCAAACAGGGTTAAGGAAAATCCCAAAGCCTTTTATTCATACATAAGGAACAAGAGGGTAACTAGAGAAAGGGTTAGCCCACTCAAGGACAAAGGAGGGAAGTTATGCGAGGAGTCAGGAAATGAGTGAGATTCTTAATGAGTGCTTTGCGTCGATATTCACTGAGGAGAGGGACATGATGGATGTTGAGGTTAGGGATAGATGTTTGATTACTGTAGGTCAAGTCAGCATAAGAAGGGGGGGTAGTGTTGGGTATTCTAAAAGGCAGGTCCAGATGGGATCTATCCCAGGTTACTGAGGGAAGCAAGAGAGGAAATAGCTGGGGCCTTAACAGATATCTTTGCAGCATCCTTGAGCACAGGTAAGGTCCCGGAGGACTGGAGAATTGCTAATGTTGTTCCCTTGTTTAAGAAAGGTAGCAAGGATAATCCAGGTAATTATAGACCGCTGAGCCTGACATCAGTGGTGGGGAAGCTGCTGGAGAAGATACTGGGGGATAGGATCTATTTACATTTGGAAGAAAATGGGCTTATTAGTGATAGACAGCATGGTTTTGTGCAGGGAAGGTCATGTCTTACCAACTTGATAGAATTCTTTGAGGAAGTGACAAAGTTGATAGATGAGGGAAGGGCTGTAGAAGTCATATACATGGACTTCAGTAAGCCATTTGATAAGGTTCCCCATGGTAGGCTGATGGAGAAAGTGAAGTCACATGGGGTCCAGGGTGTACTAGCTAGATGGATAGAGAACTGGCTGGGCAACAGGAGACAGAGGGTTGTAGTGGAAGGGAGTTTCTCAAAATGGAGAACTGTGACCAATGGTGTTCCACAGGAATCCGTGTTGGGACCACTGTTGTTAGTGATATACATAAATGATCTGGAGGAAGGTATAGATGGTCTGATTAGCAAGTTTGCAGATGACACTAAGATTGGTGGAGTAGCAGATAGTGAAGGGGACTGTCGGAAAATGCAGCAGAATGCAGACAGACTGGAGAATTGGGCGGAGAAATGGCAGATGGAGTTCAATCGAGGCAAATGCGAGGTGATGCATTTTGGAAGATCCAATTCAAGAGCGAACTATATGGTAAACGGAAAAGCCCTGGGGAAAATTGATGCACAGAGAGATCTGGGTATTCAGGTCCACTGTACCCGGAAGGTGGCAACGCAGGTCGATAGAGTGGTCAAGGAGGCATACGGCATGCTTTCATTCATCGGACGGGGTATTGAGTACAAGAGTTGGCAGGTCATGTTACAGTTCTATAGGACTTTGGTTCGACCACATTTAGAATACTGCATACAGTTCTCGTCATCACATTACCAAAAGGATGTGGATGCTTTGGAGAGGGTGCAGAGGAGGTTCACCAGGATGTTGCCTGGTATGGAGGGGGTTAGCTATGAAGAGAGGTTGAGTAGATTAGGATTATTTACATTAGAAAGACGGAGGTTGAGGGAGAACCTGATTGAGGTCTACAAAATCATGAGAGGTATAGACAAGGTAGATAGCAAGAAGCTTTTTCCCCAGAGTGGGAGACTCAATTACTAGGGGTCACGATTTCAAGGTGAGGGGGGAAAAGTTTAAGGGAGATATGCGTGGAAAGTTCTTTAGGCAGAGGGTGGTGGGTGCCTGGAACGCGCTGCCAGCGGAGGTGGTAGAGGCGGGCACGATAGCGTCATTTAAGATGTATCTGGACAGATACATGAATGCGCAAGGAGCAGAGGGATACAGATCCTTGGAAAATAGGCGACAGGTTTAGATAGAGGATCTGGATCGGCACAGGCTTGGAGGGCCGAAGGGCCTGTTCCTGTGCTGTAATTTTCTTTGTTCTTTGTTCTAAATGGTACCTATCTAGCCATTGGGATTAAGAGCAGCAGCAGCAATGGGAGTAACAGAGCCAGCAGCAGTCATGTGGTGATTGCAGGGTGAAAATCTGAACTGAAGTTGTAACAGAGGCTTGAAAAGTTGCAGTTGGCCCAGAGGACATCTAATCTGCTGCTATCATAGATAATTGAAATCTTTAGCACCACCCATCTAAACACGTTCTAATGGGCCTTAAAATCAGAATCTAAATATTGAGACATAGCATAAACCAGAATCAGACATACATTGTAACTGGTAAAAGAATAAACTCACCATATAAATAATTACAAATACCCTTGCAATTGGATATCGCCTCAGAAAAATTCCTAACCGGATGCTGTAAAAGATATGAGGCATTATTTCCACTGCCATCACCATAAGATAGAAATAAATCAAAACATATTATTAAAAACATACAAATCTACATATTCTAGTCACAATTACATTGTTAAAAAAGAAGTCTAAGCAAGATTCAGCAGCAATTTACCTGAATCGGTCTATTGTATTTGCTGCTTTTCGGACTTTCCCATACATTCCTGCAGTAGGACTGTCTGTTTCACTGAAAAGAACTGGAACGTTCCTCATACGAGCACCTGGTTCAAGCACAATATATGCATGAAGTATTTTAACAATTCACAGATCCATGTGGTTTTTCTAAAGCAACTATATGTGAAAAGACTTGGCCCATAATTTCTTTGGTTAGCAGCAAAATAATGCTGCTTGCATCCAATTTCAAACAAATGAGCTCATAAAGACCTTGCGACTGTAGCATGGATTTCACCATCCCTGTCATTTAGTTCTGGCTCAGCTATGGAGGATTGCTAGTGTGTAGCAATGAGGTAATCAAGTAGGCTTAGAAGCTAACTGCACTGAAGCATGATGCTTTAACAATAAAATTAGATTTTCAGAGCCAGAGAGGTTGTTCATCATTTAGTAAGCTGCTAAAAAACCCAATTACACATTATTCAGCAACATGTAAATTTTACAAGAAAATTTGGGAAGACAAACCCACACAACAAGTAAAACTTCCTGGCAATCCAAGTGATTTCTAAACTTGCCATCTGTGATTGCTACAACTGTACAGCTTATGGAAGAGTGGAAAATCAATGACAGCAATTTAATGGTGAGCATGTAATGTCAAAAGTTGCTATCAGTTTCAAATCACTCAATGAAAACTGATGGTTCTACTGTCATTACAACAAAATTTAGACATTTAACCAGTACTTCAATGACAGGAAATGATTCCTGATTCACAATGCAGCGGGACAACACTTGTTATTTAAATAGTTACACAATAAGACATCTTATACAACAATGTCATGTTCTAATCATTATTCTGATACACAAGTAATTAAAGTTGTTTACAGTTGCACTGAAACTCAAACAAACATGATTGCAGGGAATACATCAGGGAGCAAAATCATAATTCTCATTCCACTAGGGAAAGGATCTGGGTTACAAAAAGGGGTAATTATACTGTTTCTGACATGAGATTCACATCATGAAACCACTCCCAACTACACATCAGTGACTATTACTTAATCAAATCCAGAGCAAAACTGATTTTCCACTGGGAATAAAAATTGTGTAAATGTAAGTTTATTAAACAGGGCCACAAATACATCCAAGACCATTTTAAATCAACTGTGTACTTTCTGCTACCAGACTGGCACAGAAATTTGGTGCCTCAATTGTCAACAATCTGTGACAAGAATTGGAAGCTGACTCCGTAGATATCTGCAAGCGTGGTGCCATCAATTTGCTCCTCCACTCTCCCCTTTGACCCGCTCCCACTTCACACAACAACCCGCTCAGTTTGCTGCCAAGCTCCAGATCCCTCACTACCTTCCTCCCACTTGATACCTTGCTCCCAGGGACAGTGATAGCATAGTAGCAGGATGGTAACTGGGAGGGAGGCAGTGTGGGGTCAGAAGCAGGGTGCTGGACGTGTTTGCAATGCAGCAGTGACTAAATCACACAATCTCATTTTGAATTAATTTAAAACATTTGGAAAAACATTCTTTATTGCTGTTATTCTCTGACACATTTACCTCACTGTAGAGCTACTGACAGTGATGTCACAAGCACTGTGATTTATTTGGAAGTGACACACCCCTACAGGTGCATCGATTAAAGCTGCATTTGTTGCCAAAGACTTCATCTTAGACTATCCTCCAGCCTTTCAGTTCTAATCGAAGAACTTTCTAAAGAAGCACCCAGCACTGAAAGTTATACTTGCTTACCTTCATTGTTTTCCAATAATGATACATTAACAGCAGGGCCATTAACATTGCTTCCCTGTACACTCTTGAGCTGCTGCTCAAGGCGTTCCAATTGGAAGACAAGTGAGTTCTTCTCTGTACTGAGAGCCTCCAGCATGGTCTGTTTCTGGATCAAAGTCTCAGTCAATTGGTGAAGTCGGTTTTCTAGTTCAGTGTGGCTATTACTCATAGCTTTGTTGGTGAGCTGAAGGTTTTTTTGTACAGGTGTGGGGGAGGGGTTTGAAAATAAACAAAACACAGCATGAAGTAATTACAGATGTTTACAATGCAGAAAAAAATTGAACAATCAATGTCTACTTTGGACCAATTTAAAATTACTCCCACTGCCCATCTGTTTACCATGTAAGGTGATTAGCTACAGATTTTTAGAAACCATAGCATCTCTCTGTTCATGATATAGCTTGAGGGAGTTAATCCACACCAAGCATGGAGAAAGGCAAAAGGTAGGTCTGCATGGAGTACCATTACCCATTCAGGAAGTGAACCCAAGACGTTGGCACCATTCTGCATTATACACCAGCCAACTGAGCTAACTGCTTTCTTACCCATAGCCATGTTTATTTTCTGCTTAAATATAAATTTGCTTTGCCCTGAATTAAAGTTCTGGTATATGCCTCAACCACTCCCTGTGTAATGAAGCACAACATTAAACAGCTGTAAATGCACTTATAGCTTTATGGGGAATTATATACACTTAGCATATGTTTCTGCAATTGACAATAATCATATCTTCATAGTTGTTCCACATCTCACCTTCCATATTTTCACAGTCTACCGTTATTCTGTACATAAAAATTAATGTTTTTGAAAGGAGATTGTATCTTTTCCTCCTGAACAGAAATAGTCACAATTCTACTGAATCAGCTAAAACCCTTCACTGAGGTTATCTTGCGATCTGCATGGTTGTGATCTGGACTTCCAGATGGAAGCTGTAAGTTCATTTCAGTATAGCAGAAAACGTGACCTGCACTTTTCTAGCAAAAACAAAATCCTAGTCTCTAGACTTGCATCTTCCTCAAACCCAACATCACTTTCCCTCAGCTTCCCACGTACAAAGTGGTATCTTCCACATGTTAACATGTAGGTCCCAGGTTCAAGCATTCTCATTTTGAATCTCCAACTATAAACATGTCATGTTCACTACATCAGAATTAACATGGAAATATTTTGAAGATGTGGAGGTAAGCTATCATATTTCACCCAAGTGAATATAAAACAGACAAGTGAAGTAGTACCTGGTTCCGAAGCTTCTGAATTTCCTCCTCTCGGTCCTTGATTCTGGAGTGCAGTGTGTTTTTTGTCCTGTGTAGTTCCTCTTCAACATACTGAAACTCCTATAAATTCAAACCAGAGTGATAAAAATAAATGGGTGGTTATTAAATAAAATATGCAGAAGCTTCATTAGCCAACTTCTTCCACATGAAAGTAGCTTTTCTTTTTATTCATTAACAGGATGAGGGCATCGCTGGCTACGCAGCATTTATTGCCCATCCTTAATTGTCCAGAGGGCAGTTCAGAGTCAACCACATTGCCATGGGTCTGGAGTCACATGTAGACGAGACCAGGTGAGGATGGCAGTTTCCTTCCCTAAAGGACATTTGCAAATGAGATGGGTTTTTCTATCAATCGACGATGGATTCATGATCATCATTAGATCCATAATTCCAGATATTTTATCGAATTCAAATTCCACCATTTGCCATGGTGGGATTTGAACCTGGTCCCCAGAACGTTATCTGGGTCTCTGGATTAATAGTCCAGCGATAATACCATCAGGCCCGCTTGTGTATGTTCCATTAGATAACTCGGGCTTATTGTGAACCATTTTCATATTCAAGAAATGTTACAAATTAGCACAACTCATTGAGAAAAACTTTCCTTTTCTAAGTAGTGCCCTAAAGTATGAAAGTCCAGTGACACTTTACAAATTTGAATTGAAAATTTGATTGAGCCAATAAGCATTTGAAAGTTGCACTCGTCAGTTTTCTTGAAATATAGGAAAACTACAGAAGAAAAAGTGTATGCCCATACCTGTATGCTTAGAAATTTTACATTATCAACTCAAAGTTTGGAAAAAAAAAGAAAAATCCATTTTACTTCATAATACTAAAGAACTCTGTATCTGCTGGTGAAAGACCAATGGTGTAGAGCACCATCTAAAGAACTAAGCCTGACCATATTAGAAAGGTAAACTATATTTCCCTTCACTGATCGAAATACTTGTCTTGAATATCAAAGGTTAGTTTTTCTAGTAATTTTACACAGCACACTAAACAGATTTACATAAAGCAGAGAGGGGCCAATGTTTCAATATTTCAATAGTCCTAATAAGCATAATGCAGTGCATATTTGTGCCACAGAACAAGTGAAAATAATATAAATAGGTGATAACATCAATGTTAAGAACAGTTAGGAACAAATTATGCTTTGCCTGTTTTTGTCGGTCCAGTTCGGCCTCCAGCTCCTTTTTGGTTCCTGTTAGTGTGTTGATTTGTTCTTGTAGTTCTAGTATTTGTTCCCTGGATGACTCTGCCTCACCCAATTGCTGTGTCTCTGTATCCTGTCATTGATGTCAAGTGAACAAGTTTAATCAGTAAGCAGAATTTAATGTTTGCACATATGTCCAGCTATACCTAACTTTATATTTCCTTAAATGCATTTAAAGTAATACAATTATTCAATTTTAATTCTCATTATTTATAAAGTCAATGCTTCAAATAGGATGGGGATGGAATTACAAAGTTATACTCCATAGCAAAACCTGGATACATACAGAAAAAAGGAAAATAGCAATAGCGCTTGGTTCAGTCACCAACAAATTAGCCCGAACTCTGTTACTGAATATGTGCAATAAAACATTATGTTAATTTTCCTTTATTCCTATTTGTTAATCTTCATCTATTACCCAAGGTGGTGTACTGAAATTGGGACTTTGATATCACTGAAAACAAAAAGGCTTATTATTGAAGATTTTAAGTTCTTGACCTTTCCTCTTATCAGTAAAAGTTGTTTCAGATTTTTTTTGTAAAATGAACCTTTCAGCCAAAAAGTGTTGCACCATGATAACTGTTGTCACAATCAACTAGTTTTGTGATGTTACACTGCAGCAAATTCCTATATTGAAATACACTTCAATTTAACAATTATTTTATTGCTATTCAAGGCACTTGGTGGTAACATACACACACGAGAATATAGCTTGTAGACATACAGCTGATATAGCACCTCCTGGTGGCAATGGCCAAGTACAACATTGACAGACTGATTCAGGAAAACTTTCTGCTTACATGAACCTGATTCTGAATAGAAAATTAAAAAATACAGACAATCATACCCTGGAGTAATTTGTGCCAGGAGTCCATAAGAGCTTAACTACATATCAAAACAATCCCATGTGCACCATTAAAAAACTCTCTCCTCACTCATTGGAAGTGGTACACAGTTTTCAACTTTACCCAAACCCGACAGTTTGTGCATCTGTACAAGGCCACATAAAAAATTTAGACTTGTTACTGACCTGAATTCTACCAATGAACTGCGAATATTGAATTGGTACTTTTGCTGAAGCTCATTTGTTTTGGACAGTGAAATATTGGCTAGCTTTTGTTTTGGCACATAATTCTCAACATGTGGACATCGTTGGAAAGACTAACATTTACTGATCATCTGTAGTCGTTACAATGAAGTGATGGAAGGTCTTCTCCATTAATCACTACAAAGTGATGCAATTGAGTGGCTTGCTAGGAAAATTACCTAGGCAGTTAAGAATTAACAGGGACTGGGAGTCTCATTATCAATTACTCTGATCAAGACAATTAAAACAGAATAACGTGTGCATAACGGTGGCCAAAGTGCCATTTCAATTATCAGGTGCTGGAGCAACCCGACTTTCAGACAAGAAACACATGAACAACAGTTGAAAATCCCAATGACCCCACCCTCTCCTGCACCAAAAGTGCCTCCCATGTACAGAAACACAAAACAGGATCAGGAGTCAGTTCACTCCTTTGAGTCTGATCTGTGATCTGATATGACCATGGTTGATCATTCAACTCAATACCTAGTTCTCGCTTTTTTCACATACCCTTTGATCCCTTTAGCCATATAAAGTATATCTAACTCCTTCCTGAAAGCATTCCAAGTTTTGGCCTCAACTATTGTGGCTGAGAATTCCTCAAGTTCATCCTCACCGGGTGGGAAGAAATTTCTCCTCATCTCAGTCCTAAATGGTCTACTCTGTATCTTTTGGCTGTAAACCCTAGGTATGGACTTGCCAGTCATTGGGTTTATCCTTCCTGCATTTACACTAGTCCTTTTGGAATTTGATAGGTTTCCATAAGGTCCTACCCACCCACATTCTTCTAAAATCCACTGAATACAGTCCTGACCAATCATCTGTCTACATATATCAGATCTGATACCTGGGAGTACAGTCTGGTAAACCTTTGTTGCACTCCCTCCATAGTCAGAACATCCATTCACAGACATGGGGTCAAATTCTTGTCTGAGCAGTCAATGACTGCTAAAGCAAACAACAAAGTGCATTTTTTGCAAGAATTTTACAACTGTTGGAAGTAGGTAATCGATTACCTGTAATTCCACCCTCAGCTGCTGGATGTGACCCAGCAGTTTTTGGACTTCTTCACGTTGCATGTCACGTTCATGCCGTAGTTCTTCCAGTTCCATGGTGCTGACAGCATGGCTTTCTAAACCTTCGATTCCAGAACCTTCTTTCAGGCTGTTAATCAATTTCTCTTTGGACTGTGGAAATAATGTGCATTAATACTTCTTAACAACAAATTTGTTTAACATTGGAATTGTAACTGAGAAAATCCATTTATTGCAGACCACTGTATAAATCTACTTTATAATAATCAGTACCTCTCAAATCCACAGAACAAATTCGTAACTTCAATGGGAAGTACAATATGTAAATTTTACAGCATCTGATTTAATTTTGATAAATTCTATTCAAAATAGTTAAAGTGGATCATTAGATCAAAGGCAATATGCTAATTTTATATTTAAGAATCTGACCTACAATGAGTCATTGCTGGGAAAAAAACTACAAAGAGGTAAAATGACAGGGATGTTACAAATATGGAAGCTGATTTTAAGCTACACATTTTTGTCCCCGAAGCACACTTTTGCCATCTACTGACCAATATCAATTCTGTAAAGCAACAGACAAAAACATATAAAAATGCATTCACACTCAGATATAACCATTAGAATCAATAGTATTTTACAATCACGTCTACGAACAGTCAGCATTAAATCCCGGAAACAAAGTCTTTTAGTCTAGAGGAGACCGGGCAATTTATCACAGCTTTTCAACTCAGCTAGCTTAAATACATTCTCTTGCTCTTTTCACTTTTATGTTGTTTCTTATTGAATATTTATTCCAAGGCTTTCTAAATGTTATAATTTCTAATAGCTACTAATATCGTGCAATAACTCTGGTGAAAATGCTTTTCCTGTTCTGACAGTAATAATTCAAAATTATGCCCCATTCAGCACAAACCTGTTGCTTTCAAGATATAGCAGACTGCAGCTCTTTTTTGCAGAGCCTAGAGTCTGGGACATAAATATCAAATCATGTCTCAACACCTTGATTTAAGGGGAGGCAAATCCCTGGTGGTACTAACATTAGACTAATAATTCAGAGGTTCAGGTCATTTTCTGGGCTTTCAGGTTTGAACTTACCACGGCAGATAGTGGAATATATAAAATCAATAAAAATGTGTAACGCAGAGGCTAACAACCATGAAACCATTGTTAATTGCTGGAAAAATCTATTTGGTTTACTGGTGTCCTTTGCAAGGGAAACAGATATCTTTTCTTGGTCTAGCCTACATATCACTTCTCTGGAGCATTGGAGGCTGAGGGATGACCTTATAGAGGTTTTTAAAATCATAAGGACATAGAGACAGTAATTAGATAAGGTCTTTTCATCTGGGGTGAGTGGAGTCCAAAACCAGAGGGCTTAGGTTTAAGGTGGGAGGGGATAGATTTAAAAGGGACCTAAGGGGCAAGTTTTTCACAGAGGGAGGTGCATGTACGGAATGAGCTGCTAGAAGGAGCAGGAGGCTGGTACAGTTACATTTAAAAGGCATCTGAATGGATATATGAATAGGAAGGTTTTAAAAGGATATGGTCCAAATGCGGGCAAATGGGACTAAATTTATTTAGGATATCTGGTCGGCATGAACGAGTTGGACCGAAGGATCTGTTTCTGCGCTGTATATCTCTATGACTCTAAAAAGAAATGTTTCTAGGAACATGGGCCAAGCACAGTAAGGTGGGACTAGTTTAGTCTGGGATTATGGTCGGCATGGACTGGTCATACTGAATGATCTGTCTCTGTGCTGTATGACTATGACTCCAGGCCCACAGGAATGATGCTGATTTTTAAAAACCGAAAGAACTGTGGATGCTGTAAATCAGGAACAAAAACAAAGTTGCTGGAAAAGCTCAGCAGGTCTGGCAGCATCTGTGAAGGAAAAAAACAGAGTTAATGTTTCGCATCCGGTGACCCTTCCTCAGAACTTCAGAAGTTCTGAGGAAGGGTCACCAGACCCGAAACGTTAACTCTGTTTTTCTCCTTCACAGATGCTGCCAGACCTGCTGACCTTTACCAGTAACTTTGTTTTTGTTCACGATGCTGATTTTCAACTGGCTTCTGGGCAATTAGGGAAGGGCCCAAAATGATGTCATAACCAGCGATTCCCACATCCCATGACTGAATTTAAAAAAGTGACCAACATTACTGCATTTTCTAAAGATAAACAGAGGTTTTCTGTATTTCCTGGGGATGTTTTGCTAGGCCTTGATAAGACCACATCTAGAGTAGTGTATGGTTTTGATCTCCTTATTTATAAGATGCACTAGCAATTCACAGAAGGTTCACTTGACTGCTTCCTGGGATGAGAAAGCTATTGTGTAAGGAAAGGTTTAACTGATTGAGTCTGCATCCATAGTAGTTCAGAAGACTAAGAGGTGATCTTATTGAAAGATGCAAGATGGATGTTGAAAGTATATTTCCCTTTTGTGTGAAAGGCTAGAACTAGGGGACAGTTTAAAAATAAGGACATTCCATTTAGGAGAGGTTAAAAAGAAATATTTTCTGAATGTTGAGAGATTGTGGAATTCTTCCACAGAGAGCAGTGGAGGTGGCAGCATTGAAAATCTTTAGGACAGGAGAGATAGATTTTTGACTAACAAGAGAGTTGAATGGCAATAGGGGTAGACGGGAAGGTGCAGTAGAGGTTACAATCAGACCAGCCATGACCTTGTCAGATGGCAACGTAGCTTGAGCGGCCAAAAGGCATACTCCCACTCCAAATTTCTATTTTCACGTAACCTTGTTCACACCTGAAGAATTCTGGTAGCCTTTTGCTTGTAGTCCATTAGTTCCTGTTTAGCCAAATCCAAGCTGGTCTTAACAGTTTTGAGCTGTTGCTGTTGATCATCTGCCCTCTTCTTCTCTTCAATCACCTTTCTCTCAGATGCAGTCAGTGTTTCTGCAAGACTTTGGCGTTCAAGTTCCACCTTATTGAGTCTAGCTGCAAATTCATTCTGAACAGAAGACAAAAGACATGTTTCAGCTCATCTCATACATCTTATACATTCTTGAGAAAAAAGCAGGTGAATTTTAATCATTTTCATGCCTTATAGGTCAAGGAAGTACAGCCAAAGGAGATCTGGAAATACGACATAATTTTATGTATCACATCTAATGAAAAAGGGATACTTCATATTGTCCTGGCAATTGCTCATGCTCAGATATTCACAGGAAAGTAAATTTATGTCCACTTCTTACTCACTGACCAGACCTCAGACATGGATAATGGAGTGCTCTTGGCATCCAAGATAAGGGGACAAGAGAAGATTGAATAGATATGCGGAAAAAAAAATCATTTTATGTTTATTACTCAAGAGTTCCGTCAATTAAGATGACAAGGAGCATGAAGGTGAACTGGAAAGAGGCTAAGTAAAGCTAAGGCGTTCCAAGATCTTCCTTGAAACTTCAGTAAACATGGAAGCTTCCAGAAGTTCGACCATCATGGATGATAAATTAATCATTTAGCGAGTTAGACAACAGGTAGGGCAGGAAGAACTAGATATTGCCCGAAGTTATACTGCTTTTCTTAATTCAAATAAATTACTAATTTCCAGGTATGAAAAATAAGCATTTTTAAAAAATTTAGTACATGTGCATTTTTGTTTTACATTTGTCTCCCTGCTCCATTATAGAATGGTGAAAGATAGAACTTAAATCAATACTAATCAGGTCAACTCACTAATAGGGAAAGTGGAAAATTGGCAGGTGGCAGCCATATTATTTCTCCCACTACAGGCTTTGCAAACTACTTATCCCCACTCATATTTGCTCGGCATCCAGAAAATATGACATGCAAAAAAAAGTATCCCGAATGAATAAAATTGTCACCCCAACCCTTTATTTGGTTTCTTTCTGCAATGACAAACAAGCTTTTTTCAGTTGTTTCAGCGGCGGGAGTCCGGGAGGAAGCGCAAGGGCAGCCTGGGAAGGTGAGCTTTTCGATTATAAAAGTCTTACCTCGCGTGACTCCATTTTTGGAGTAAGTGAGGTAATATATTTGGGTGGTTGCTTTACCCGAAACACTACCTAGGTAGTGTCTCCCACCCATCTTCCTCCTCTAACAAAAAAAAAGGTTCTGAGCGCTGATTTGGTAAGGCTACTAGTTTTTTTTTTATTTGTCTGTTTGGGAATTCAGAACAGTGGGAATGGATGTTAGGGCAGTTGTATGCTCCTCCTGTAGAATGTGGGAGGTAAGGGTCACCACTAGTGTCCCCACTGACTTCATCTGCGGGAAGTGCACCCAACTCCAGCTCCTCAGAAACGGTGTTAGGGAACTGGAGCTGGATGAACTTCGGATCATTCGGGAGGCTGAGCGGGTAATTGAGAGGAGTTACAGGGAGGTAGTCACACCTCAGGTACAGGAAAAAAGTAGATGGGTTACAGTCAGGGGACGGAAAGGGAACAGGCAGACAGTGCAGGGATCCCCTGTGGCCATTCCCCTCAAAAACAAGTATACTGTTTTGGATACTGTTTGGGCAGGGGGACTTACCAGGGGTAAGCCATCAGGTACAGGTCTCTGGCACAGAGTCTGTCCCTGTTGCTCAGAAGGGAAGGGGGGAGAGGAGGAGAGCATTAGTCATTGGGGACTCCATAGTTAGGGGGACAGATAGGAGATTCTGTGGGAACGAGAGAGACTCGTGGTTGGTGTGTTGCCTCCCAGGTGCCAGGGTCCGTGATGTCTCGGATTGTGTTTTCAGGATCCTTAACGGGGATGGTCCACATAGGCACCAACGACATAGGTAGGAAAAAGGATGGGGACGTAAGACAGAAATTCAAGGAGCTAGGGTGGAAGCTTAGAGCTAGAACAAACAGAGTTGTTATCTCTGGTTTGTTACCCGTGCCACGTGCTAGCGAGGCGAGGAATAGGGAGAGAGAGCAGTTGAACACGTGGCTACAGGGATGGGGCAGGAGGGAGGGATTCAGATACCTGGATAATTGGGGCTCATTCTGGGGTAGGTGGGACCTCTACAAACGGGATGGTCTACACCTGAACCAGAGGGGTACCAATATCCTGGGGGGGAAATTTGCTAATGCTCTTCGGGAGGGTTTAAACTAATTCAACAGGGGGATGGGAACTTGAATTGTAGCTCCAGTGTACAGGAGGTTGAGAGTAGTGAGGTCATAAATAAGGTTTCAAGGTCGCAGGAGTGTACCGGCAGGCAGGAAGGTGGTTTGAGGTGTGTCTACTTCAATGCCAGGAGCATCCGGAATAAGGTGGGTGAACTTGCAGCATGGGTTGGTACCTGGGACTTTGATGTTGTGGCCATTTCGGAGACATGGATAGAGCAGGGACAGGAATGGTTGTTGCAGGTTCCGGGGTTTAGATGTTTCAGTAAGATCAGGGAAGGTGGTAAAAGAGGGGGAGGTGTGGCATTGTTAGTCAAGGACAGTATTACGGTGGCAGAAAGGATGTTTGATGACAACTCGTCTACTGAGGTAGTATGGGCTGAGGTTAGAACCAGGAAAGGAGAGGTCACCCTGTTGGGAGTTTTCTATAGGCCTCCGAAAAGTTCCAGAGATGTAGAGGAAAAGATTGCAAAGATGATTCTGGATAGGAGCGAAAGTAACAGGATAGTTGACATGGGGGACTTTAACTTTCCAAATATTGACTGGAAACGCTATAGTTCGAGTACTTCAGATGGGTCAGTTTTTGTCCAATGTGTGCAGGAGGATTTCCTGACACAGTAATGTAGATAGGCCAACAAGAGGCGAGGCCACATTGGATTTGGTACTGGGTAATGAACCAGGCCAGGTGTTAGATTTGGAGGTAGGTGAGCACTTTGGTGATAGTGACCACAATTCGGTTACGTTTACTTTAGCGATGGAAAGGGATAGGTATATACCGCAGGGCAAGAGTTAAAGCTGGGGGAAAGGCAATTATGAGGTGATGAGGCAAGATTTAGGATGCATAGGATGGAGAAGGAAACTGCAGGGGCTGGGCACAATTGAAATGTAGAGCTTGTTCAAGGAACAGCTACTGCATGTCCTTGAGAAGTATGTAC